AATTTCATCTTACCATCTGTCACGCGTTACTACTGGATGGTGTTATACTGTATTAACTATGGTGTTGGGGATGGCCTTTTTGCTACGGCAATTATTAATATTGCAATCGAATGCCTACCAACAGAAAACCGAGGAGGTGGGTTTGGACTGTTTCAGTTTCTTGTGGGGATTGGTTATATCATTGGACCAATCTTATCAGGCAAGTAACAGCACCTATGATATGACGAGCCTTTACCATTTCTTGAATGACCCAAACTGCAACATTCAACATTATGAGCTGTTCGAAAAAAATATATAAACTCCACACGAAGCACGCTTGCATGTATTATCTTGAGTTATCATCATAATCATTATCATCATTATCATCATCGTTTTCGTCATGGGCTCACGAGAAGGTTGTGTTTGGCCTTAGGGCAGCATTGTCTATAGGAGGAAATTCACTTATACAGCAACGACTCAAAAGTATTGCTTGCTTAAGCCATTGATAGTTTTCATACTTTTGTGTTTCCCTCCTCTGTCTCCTCGAAGTAGTTTTTATCCTACCTTTTTGCCAGCTAGTTTTGTATCATTCGAATGTGATGACTGCTCAGTTGTAGTAGTGCTCCCTCTTTTGTGGTGATCAACAGAATGTATAAAAACAGAAGAAAAGCTCCTGTAAAGTTTTGCACTTTTATGGAAAATATGTGCTAAATATAGAAATATGAATGATGCTTTTTGTTCAAAGGTTTCATAGCCGATGTCAGTGGATCTTACAACTACGCATTCTATACTGCTGGCTCACTAGAACTCATTGGTGGAAGTATCTCTCTTGCGTTACTTTGTTTTGAAATACCTTTTGTTAATCGAGAATTAGACGAAAGCTCGCGCTTTAGTACTGTATTGGAGTTCAACATTACAGAGAAGGAGACCGTTTTATAACTAGAGAGAAAGGTATCTATTGGCAAAGGAGGGAGTTGGAGAAATGTTTAGGATCAATCATCATTTGACTCATGACTCATAGAATTGCGAACTATAACACGGATCACTGAAAAAAAATCGCGCACTTTAAAAGGTTGTAAATTTGATGTAAATATGATGTAAGTGTCCAACATGATGTAAATTTGATGTAAATGTGATATAATTGATTTACATAAAATTTACATTATTTTGGACACTTACATCATTTTTACAATCTTTTAAGTGCGCCATTTTTCCGGACTTCTCCCGGAATTGCCTCCTTCTAAGCACTATAACTTTCTTTCATTTCTATATCGTGTTTATCATAGTGCCATGCGGTCTTCATATTCATATCTTTACATTATTCTATTACCGCAACCTTAACATCTATTTCACCCCGACCTGCTCCCAGTCTGGCCTTGTAGCTCAGCTGGTAGAGCATCGGTGTACAAATCCGAAGGTCGTGGGTTCGAATCCCAGCGAGGTCGGAAATTAATTTTTCCGAATTTATTCCTAAGGGACTTCTCCCGGAATTGCCTCCTTCTAAGCACTATAACTTTCTTTCATTTCTATATGATGAAGCTTAAGATTGGCATCAAACTTTTGTAATATTTCTATTTGTATTTTAAACTGATTCAAAGTCCAAATGCATAGGTATTATAACTAAAGGCTATCAATAAGCTACAACTGCGACTTCTACTGCTAATTAACTAGAACTTCTTGGTGGAAGCGTCTCTCTGGCCTTTGCTGTATATTCAAATTATCGAAACGGTTTCCAAAGAACCTCGGAAGCGTTTGACACAGGGGCAATAATTAATGAGAAACGTTTTTAAAGCAAAATATTCCTATTTTATCCTATTATTATTGTTATTATTATTGCTAAATATTTTATGTATTGATTTATTATTTCTTCGAAAAAAAAAATGAAAAAAGAACTGAAAAAAAACCCTGAAGAGGCGGAAAAGAAACGAAAAAGACAGGCTGTATTAGCCATTTTGTATTCTGACACTGGTTTCACTACTGGCGGTTTTAATAACTGATGGTCCATCTTCAGCCATGGGATTCAGGTGCACTGCATCTACACTGACTGGTGAACGCGTACGATCTGGTAATAAAAAGGAGAAAAAATAAAGAAAACGCGCGACATTGCTATTATGTACCCAAGGAGACGTCCCTAACATTGTTTGATTGTTCGAGTCTCGGCTAGGGGACGATGGGCTATATTCGAGATTACTGGACGTATCGCTATATATATATGGAATTATTCCTCCAAGCCTGCGTTGCTTGCGCTGCCGAAACCTTGGACACCTAACAGTGTAGGTTTGAGCCATGGTCGGAGGAGAGCAAAACTTACTTTAATTGGTTCCTCATCAAATCATTCGAACCCATCTAATCATTTGGATGCACTTCCAAGCTCGACATTGAAAAGTAGCCGATCATTTGCATCCTAGGGAGGTAAAGGCTTACCCTTCATTGATGGCTTTTTTCTCACTTAGAACAACTTTTTAAAGCCTTCTTAACATTGTAAGGTCAACTACTCTCTACTCTCTCATCATCATCATCATCATCAATATCGTCATCAGGTCGAATCTCCTTGGGAGCAGGTTGAGATGGCTTCACATATTTCACTGACAACTGTATAATGAAGTATTGTCCGACAAACTGTAAAAATTCTCTTTCTGTTACCTGTTCTTCGTCTAGTCCGTCGCTTCCTTTTTGCCTCGCGTATTTGCTCAAGTACGACAGGATCAGGTTCTGGGACAAGATCTTCATCATTGAAAGCCCATGAAAGATGATACGGACCTCTTTTCCATGGAGCACGGGCCAGCAAATGACAGAGAGTCGATAGTCGATGCCAGATCATTGTAAGAAACTGGATAACAATCACCAGGCCATACACAAATAGAAAGGCAAGCCCGATAGCATTTGTGCCTTTGACCCTGAGTTCAGCCTGTGGAAATAACGTTGTCAAAACCATACCTATACATTTTATATCTGGGATATATTGAGTACACATATCTGAAGCACATCACGAGATGTGAGCTTGTTGGAAGTTGAATTCTTATTTTGTTGTAATCCTTATTTTTGTTGATGTAACGTCTGAAATAAGAGGGCTATCCAGACTTTAAAAATGTTCAAATTTCCAGTTCYTAACTGGGAGTCAAATTTTGAATTCTTTATGTGCTGAAATGCACAGCAAATTCTGCTATTGCTTTGCACTGAGAAGAAGGCCAAATCCTATAGGTTAATTAATCCATTCCTGGTGGAGACCCTCTTCAGTTAAGACAAAYAGACCCCTTGCATGTGACGTCAAAGCAGCTTCATCTGGAGGACAAAACAAAAGATTTTTATCCTCTTGGGAACTAGAATCCATTGTTTTGTCCTCCAGTTGCAGCTGCATTCCCATGAACTGCAAGGGGTCTATACGTTTTATAAAGGTGCTAAAATTAGAATGGATTAAGAAAAATAGATTTGAGATTGCAACACTTACAAATTCAGAAAACCTGATTTCAAACACAAATATCCTTTTCTCGAATTTCTGACATTGGATAAGGATGATAGATGTTAAATGAATGCTGTGGTTTGGTTTGATATAGCTTACCTGTTTATCAAGAGTGATGATGATAATAATCCACATCACGTTAGCTATGGCAAACACGGTTAAGAAAGAGCCACGCAAGTCTTCTAACTTTTCTTTGAGTTGTATCACGCTGCCAAAAACTGCTGACTCGGGAAGCAGACACCTTTGTCGCAGCTTTGTCCAAAAACGGTATTCCTTGCCTTCATCACCGTTGTCTTTTTCGATATCCGATAGGGTTACTTTGTTCACCAGGTCACGTGCTTGGCGAATCTCTCTTTGTGCTAAAAAAATAAAAATAAATTGTTCAGTTGCTTAGTAATGTATATCGCTAGTAAGGTATGAATTGTCGGCTGTTAGTATTTTATATTTACAAGTTGTCAGATACGGCTCGATTCCTGGCCAAGGTGATTGCGTTGTTGCATTGCTTTCCCATTACCAACCCAACGCCAGAACTGTTGGCCTAGCACAACAGACTAGGATATGGGATGCCATGGCCAAAGTGAACTTTAGGTATTAGAAAGACTTAACCTTAGACTTAAACTCCAATACCTGAGGTTGTGTACTGCATATTCTTAATTGCATCCATCATCTTGTTCAAATGGCCAACTTTACGAATGTTCATATCTATTTCTAGTGCTGTGCGAAGAGTTTCGGTGTCCATTGACTTAAGATCTTCCAGCATTTGTGGCTTTGTGTAACCGTTCTCTCTGAAATGAATCCAATACATGCCGAGCCCCAATGAATGTAGCCACTCTTCTACATTTTCCTGTTATTAAGAAAGCAATTAATAAAACGTCAATGGCACAATTTCCAGGAATAATTTACAACTCTATGAACATTTGACCTATATACTAGCTATTTCAAAAAAGGTTGTCGGATGAAAATGGAAAATGTCAATGGTCGAACGGCCATTGTACGACCGAAAGTAACCTCTGTTTTGACTGTTGAAAGGCAATAACAACTCATTTGTATTGTAAGATAGTCTGTGGTAAATACTGGCTCCATTTACTCACCACTTCTATGCAATGTGAATCCAATAAGTGAAATTTTGTTTATAAAAACAGTGTAACCATAATCCCTTTCGGTCGTGCAATCTCCCTTCGACAATCGCCGTTCGTCATTCTCCCCGACAACGTTTTTGAAATAGCTGTATATTATAACAAGAATACTCACTGGTACATCTGTATCAGAAGGAATGAAAGGGATGTTCTTTATCAAATAAATTATTTGTGATCGATGACCTCTTTTGTTGATACCAATGGAACGAAGATCCTAGGAAAAGCAGGACAACAAAATTAAAGGTCTTAAAAGAAAGTTATAGAACAAAACCAGTAAAGTTGAATAGGTTACAAAAAGTAGTGGTACCACTTTCTGAAATATAATGTTATATATATCGGTAAAATGCTCTGAAGCACGTTTAAAAGGAGTACTTACCCTATCGGTCATACCAGTGATAAAACTGATGTTATCGTATCCATTATCGGTGAAGTTTTTCAAGTACAGCGCCTATCATTTTAATTTAATTCAACTTATTACGAAGGGGTAAAAAACAATGCTTATCATTTGAGAGAGGTTTATAAGGGCAAACAGATTGCAAATCATTGCAATAAACCACAAGCAATATATGATTTCTTACTAAAACAATGGAAATCTTCTTTGCAATTGATAGTAAATTAACGAACCAAATGTTTTCACATTAACAAATAGCTAACCCTTAAATCTGCCGGAAGCCACATTTCTATCGACATCTCAGAGTAAACTCTTTGCAAGGCCGGGTCTTGAAATCTGACAGTTCTCTTTTTCTCTCCTGGGAAACGCCATGATGATTTGACCATAGATGTTTCTGCAAGTTCATCTATAAATAGAATAACAAGGTTCAAAATGGTCGCTTTACTGATCCATGCATCATTTCTTTGATATGGGCTGAAAAATCGATGGGTGGATGGATTGTTTGATTAATGATAATGACTATTATTAAATTTAGGACGACAGCGAATCGATAATTGAGCCTGTAAATCCGAGATGAAAACATAAACAAATCAAATAATCAGGTAATTTATAAAAAGTTAACTATGTTTTTTTACCTGCGCTTTTAGCCCTCTGAAGTTTAGCTGATTTTAAAACCGACTTTCGAGGGGGAAACGTAGGTCGACTTTCTGCAGCGGATTCACTTTGACTATCAGTTGTCTTTTCAGCATCACTTGTTTCACTGCTGACAGGCGCAGAAGGACTAATTCTGTCAGGTTCTAAGTCATCTGAAGTTATGTCCTGTGGATAGAACAGATCAAGTTTTAAGCCTGCTAAAAAGAAAATTTGCCTAAACAACCGAAGCTGATGCAGAACGGCGTTTACAGGGGCGGATCCGCACTCACCACTGACATCTGTACCTTCAGTATTTTTTTATCTTCAAATAGTAATGATTTTTGTGGAATGCATCCCTCTCCTGAGGCCCCGCATCCCTCCCTGAGGAAAATCCTCGATCTGCCCCTGGTTTAGCAAAGACGAGCTAAGTCAAAACACGGCTCCTAGTTGAAACATATCAAAGAATTGTCCCAGAAAAGTTGTCCTTCGTTTAGCAGCCATATATGGTAGTCTTACATTATTTGGAAGTACGATAGGACTGGTTTTTGGCGATTTTCTCGACTTTTAAAGCGTGAAATCGTCTATATATGGCATGGATTTGCTAAAGGAAGCCCAAAACTAAAAAGCACGAATGACATACAATTCTTTGATATGAAGTCAAGCTTTCGGTCAAGTGAAAGCTAATCTCCACTGCTAACGGTTTTGAACAGCCGCTTGTGATCAGGTTTTAAGAAGACAGTTCTTAATGCCATCACTATATGAGTCACTGTTGAAAAAAATCAAAGGACATAGGTTCACTCCGATGGCTTTACTGACCTCGCCTGGCTGTTCAACAATACTTTCTTCAGTTTCAGGTGGGGCGGGTTTTTGTTCAGGTTGACAACAAAAGCAAAGAGATCTGARTTTTTCCCAGAGTATTTTGTACCAAGGAGCGTCATCGCCAACCTTCTTTTCCTTGGTTTCACGAGTTCCTAGAAATGTAGAAAGACAACAGATTTCATACTATTTTCTGATTATCTGGACAGATTGGTAAAGTTCAGCCAGGCAATGCTATAATGCTCTACCTATATATACTTATTTTACTATATGTAAAAAGGACAGTATCCTGGAAAAAATCGCGCACTTAAAAGGTTGTCAGTTGATGTAAATACGATGTAAGTGTCCAAAATGATGTAAATTTGATGAAAATCATTTACAGCAAATTTACATCATTTTTGACACTTACATCGTATTTACAACAAATTTACAACCTTTAAAAGTGCGCGATTTTTGCGCGTTGTACGTACCCCATGATCTGTCAGTGATGTTTGCTAATGAGTATATAATAAGCAACAGGTATCCCGAAGGCAGACAGCAAAGGTACCAAATCCCATGAACTAGACAGAAGGCTTCGGTTGGATGTAACAGTGCTGCAGCCAAAAAAATACCAACAAGGCCAGCAAGATAAAGCGAACTTAAGTCAGCAGGAAGTCCGTCTGTACATTCAATTGGCAAAGTAGTTGGTTTTATAGTTGTTATGAGCGGCGAAGTAGTGGTATTAGACGGAGCTAGCGATGAACCTGTTTCATAAATCAATCAACCAGTCAGTCAATATATAACAGTCGTAATTATCCGATGTCTACTGTCAAAGCTGGAACCAGAGTTATATTGGTGCTGAGCCTGTTCTTAATCTAACAATCAATCATCGATGATGCATGAATCATCATTAACTCAGTTAACATAACGTAATGAAGCGTTAGGGACTGCGCAATATTTATGGGGGGTTGAGAATCCAGAGGGGGGGGGAGGGGGGGGGCAGAGGCTAATTTATTAGGATGTCGGACCTATTATTTTCCATTGAAACAACGAGATAACATTAACAAGTGCAACTGCATGCGTTTTGAGTAGGCTTGTGGCATCGATGGGGTCAGTTCTTACCGTATTCATCACATTCAGACCTTTTGGAAAGATCGATAGCAATCTGTGCGGCCATACCAACAGTAACAGCAGCCATTAGCAAAGAGAACATAATAGTGAGAATCTTWGCCACCTTGAGTTGAAATGACTGCTTAGTGTAAAGACAGATTAAGGCATAACCAAACGTTATAACAGAAAGGAGTATGAGAATAGCTACATCATTATCTGATCCTGGTAACTTGGAGTATTTCAGGGCCCCAGTAATGACAAGGATAACTGTTGCAGGCCTGAAAGAGATAATATATGCAGACCTCAGAAAAACGAAATGATATACAGTTAACTCTTTTTGAACGACCACTCTAGTAAGCGACCATCTCCGTAAACGACCACTTTTTCCTGATCCCGAGGTGGTCGTTTACGAGTTGACTGTAACTCCAAAAGGGAGTCATGACAGGGATGCAGAGGAGGGTGGTTCCAGGGAAACCCACTCTTTGGATATAAGAAAATGCAATAGCGTGAACTCACGATATAAGAGTAGCTGCAACTAAAAGTGCTTGGTAAAGAATGAAGAAAATCGAGATCTTGTCGTTGTTTTCAACAGTTACTTTCCAKTCACTAATCAACTGGATGAGGTTGATAAGGGTTGATGGGATCCAGCGMCGTCTTTGATTGAAGAACTCATCAAAATTGTCCGGACAGAAAGTGCTGTCTTCTGCAGCTGCGCAGTACTCAAGTCTCCAACCTGACTGAACCATCAATGTACACATCCAGCGGTCTTCCCCTAAAGGAGCGAAAAGGATTTAGGTCAGTACTCGGGATGACGCTTCGAATTTGATTGAAATCTCGATGATATACAATGATAACGTGGAAGGCGACGTTTATGTTTAGTCAATAATAGAGAGTTTTAGCATCACGTTGACGGCAAACGGCTAACAGCAGAGCTAAACCAATGACCTAAGAATTTCGTGCCCGACCTTGTGCTTTTGGTAGTCATTTGAAAGAGCGGCTTTTCACGACTATGGCAACCCCAAAATAATCCACTCTCGCGTTGAAACTGGAACGTTAAACTCAAAAAAAGCAGGTCACGTGATCTTCTCTGCCGTTTGGCATTTGCCGTGAACGTCATGCTAATCCTCTCTAATGTTGAACCAATGGCTTTTTACTTAACCGATGACATCATGTTTATTAAAGCCAAGTGCACCATGGTATTGCTTAAAAAATCAAGATATTTTATCTCTTATAGAAACCGAAACCCAAGGAAAAAGTTTTAAGTAAGCCGTTGATAAAAAAGAGCTTTCTGGGAGATCATTGATGCTTGTTCACAAAATATCCTGAAACACGATTGACAGTCAAAGATGACACGTGGGATGGCTARTCAGTCCCATGATGCATCTCGATGATGTCATTAAGGGGGATTAAATTACCCATGTCTTTGGTGAGGAAGTCAATGGATGTGTTCACACGTGATGCATAGATGGGAAGAACATCTCTTATGGCACGTGCACGGTAGACACTGAAACAGCCAGGTGAACAGAGAACTGAGCCAAGGACATGATTGGCRACCTGATTTTTGATGTATACGTCAAAGTTAATAGATGAGAAAGAGAAACACTTCTGAATTAACAAGCCCTTTATCTTACAATAAYAGTAGAAGGAAAGTATGAGTATAAATCGTAACCTTTTGAAACCAGTGACCAATAGCGTAATCGAATATTTGATACCATACAACAGGCCCAGAYCCCAAAGGATGTGTTCGTCCACAGACAGCRCCCACTTTTTGATCYCTCATCATCAGATCTAACAGGGCTTGCACTGACTCATGGGTGAAACGGACATCGGCATCGGTTGCTAGGATATACGTATTGTCGTCATCACCTTCCATACTGGCTTCCTTGTAGTCTAAGACGTAGGACATGTACATTGCTTGGCTCCAACGCTTCTTGTTTTTTACCTTCGAAGTTAAAATTCCAAATGAATCGTTTCTACATATTATTTTCTAYTGAAAATCTGACTAGTCTCCTTGGCAGCCTACCCTTTCGTTGGGCTTTAACAGGGTAGGCTGCGAAGGAGACTACAATCTGACTAGATAGATTTGAAAAATTTAATACCAACTAGTCCTGATGTAACTGTCAARACTACCAACAGAGTTTGCGGTAGTACGAATATACATATGTGTGGGCATGCCGGCAAGGTAAGAGCATGTTAGTATGTTCGATTGGAGATTCGGAAAACACTAGCAATTATTTTAAGAAGGATAGAGTGAAAAGGAATCAGCTGATATGATTTTTGTATTCTAGTTCATAGAATCATTTTTTGAATGAGTCACCTCTACATGAAGACTACTAAGTCGTTTCCCTATAAAGTTCAACTGTTGTATTTTATCTCTTTCACGATACCTTCAAATTGTCCTTCAGGTGAATATGAAATGGCATTCCTCCAGGTAGTCTCCACCTCAGTTGCATCCCGTAAGGTGTCTTGATCTTCATACATTTGTCAATCTTCACACCAAGTGTTTTGGGTACAAGAGCAATGAGCTGCAATACGAAGTCATTCAGCACATTCCCTTTTACAGCTCCGTCAAAAAATATATGCGACTCAAATGTTCGTCTTGTYCCCTCTCTTGCCGTGTCGATGTCGTGAAGCGARTGCAGCAGTTGTTCCATCTCAGTCTCATTTTCATGGTACATTGTCGTGCATATATATACACTCGAGTTCCTGGCAACATCTGGTTGATTCAATTGTGACTCGTCTGTTATCTGATTTTTCCGGTTTAAAAGCAGATTTTGCTCGAGGAATGCATCTAAGGGAAACAAAATATAATTCAGTGATATAATATATATCATTCCCCGTGGTATTTTCTCAGACTTTGAGCAGTTTTGAGACTGGAATTCCTTGATGTGAAGCTACTGAACACTACAATAATTAAACCACAAATTCCAGTCCAGTATTATGTGCTAAAAGCCCAGTGTTCATTCATAACTAGCGACGTACCGTTATATATCGGTAGCCAGAAGAGGGAGGACTCCTTAGCCATGATAAAGGATTGCTCTTTTGATAAATACATGCCAGTCGACAAGACTTGTGCAAGCCACAAGCAAATAGCCATTGGTATTACGATTATCTCGTGGATTTCTAAACACTTCAGRGGTATGGCACTGGTGCAGCACATTTCMGGAATGGAGATCAAAATCAGGGAGAGTGGTGTGGCGAGGAGCATCGGCACAAAGAAGGCAAGTCTTTGCATACACATTGCACATGCAAGCCAACCTGGAAGGAAAATCAATCAGTGATGGCAGTGTACATTGATCAAGATATTTTCAATTTATAACGAGGAGAATACCTTTTAAACGTCTGAAAAGAAGAAGAGGAACCGGGAAGAAATCAAAGCTGAGAAGAAGAGTGAAGAAAAGAAGGTTGTAAGCGAAAAGAACATATAGGCACTGGTCAAGATTCTCAGTGTAAGGATAAAAAGAAGATACAAAGAAATACAGTATAGTTCACTCGATCAAAGGCCAGTTGGCCAGTTGAATTAAAACACGAGAAATKTTTACAGATAATCTGTCGTTGTTGAAAATCTGCTATTTCCTTTTACCTAAAACGCTKCCTACGATGCTTGTAAAAATCTGTGCCATRAAATGAGGAAATGCTGGATGAGCTACAGCAAAGCTAACGAAACCATTGTTCAGATTTGTTAAGTCTGCAACGTCAAACACATAACARAACAATGCAGAAACGAAAGGTGTCGCGATCAGCTTGACAATTGAAGAAATGATTATAGATTTATCTCGCGCCGTCTCTTTTAGAAGGATCTCATCTTCGTGGTTTTCGTTGACTGTTTGGGAGCTTCCTGCTATTGATCGCATGCTTTCCTATAAGATAAAATTCAAAAGCTATACTCTATTGGCCTCATCGTAGGCCAATCTACTCAGTAGGATTCCT